GAAGAGATGCCTGCCCAGAGGCCCTTCTCCAGCCCACCTCTCGCACCCATCTCCTTCCATATCTGGTAGCATCTGTGTACTTAGAGTTTCCCAAAGGCACCTGCCCCATGTGGTCCTTCTACATGCTTGCTTTTGGCCTGGAATGCACTTCTCCATTCCTTCCTGCTGTCCTCTGCCCCCAGGTAGGAATGGTCATGCTGTCCTTTGTCCCCATTCTTTACATGGCCTGCGTTACATCACATTCCCCAGCCATGGTCCTTATCTGTGAAGGACTCCCCTCCAAAATTCCAAGATGATGGGCTATCTTATTTCATCCCTGTCCCCAAAGCTGAACATCTATGAATTCATTAAGTATTCTTTTTGTTTGATCATGCTGGGGATCAAAACAGGACCTTGCACATGCTAGGCCCTACCCACTGAGCCACATCTCCAGACTCAGTGGAGAATAAATAAATATTCTTAACATCCTCCTACAGCCAGGCCCTCCTGTTATGGATTCCATAGAGACAGACAGTCTCTGTCTTCATGGAGTTTACTTATTTGGGGGGTGGATACAGACAGATAGTAAACAACTCATTTCAGATATCAATAAGTGCTATGAAGAAAATACAATATGGTTGTCCCTTGGAATCTAGGGGGATTGATTCCAGGATGCCAAAATCCAGGGATGCTCAAGTTTTATAAAAAGGTGACACATTTGCATATAACCTACATGTATCCTCCTTTATCACTTTAGATGTAGATGACTCATAATAACTAATACAAGGTAAATGCTGTGTAAACAGTTGTTATGCTGTGTGTGTGTGTGTGTGTGTGTGTGTGTGTGGTGCTGGGAATTGAACCCAGGGCTTTATGCACGCCAGACAAGCACTGAGCTATATCCCCAGCCCCTGTGCTGTACTGTTGAGGGAATAATGCCAAGAAAGAAAACTCTGTATATGTTGAGTATAGAAGCAACTATTGTAGGCCTAGCTGCATAGTACAGGATCAGTGTTTACTTGAATTCAAGGATGTGAAGATGCAGAGGGAGGGTGGATTACACAGCAACTGCTTAAAGAAGTGGTTATGGTGAGTGGGAGGCCAATAAAACACAACATTGTTCAAGAGGCAGTGTGGCAAGTGTGTGCTGATCAAGGACAAAAATCAGGGGAGCAGGGGTAGACCAGATGACTTGGATTTTATTCTAACTGCAGTGGAAAGCCTTCAGAAGTTTTTAAGCTGGGCATGATATAATCAGATTTAGGCTGTGTGTGGATCATTTTGGTGGGTGAAGAAGGGAGACCAGCTGGGGTCCAGGTCAAAAGTGGCAGGGGCTGGAGGGAGAGAAGGTAGGAAGTGATCCTGTTACTGGAGTTCTAGGCCAGAGTTCTGATTTTAGGGATCAACCAATCACGTCCACCACTCACCCCCAAAGCCAAACAGAAAAGTAATGGTGAAAAGCATGAAAATAATTTTTTTTTGGGGGGGTACCAGGGATTGAACTCTACCACTGAGCCACATCCCCAGATCTATTTTGTATTTTATTTAGAGACAGGTTCTCATTGAGTTGCTTAGTGCCTTGCCATTGCTGAGGATGACTTTGAGCTTTCAATCCTCCTGCCTCAGCCTCCCAAGCCTCTGGGATTATAAGCATGCACCACCACACCTGGCCATGTAAAGAACTTTAATTGGTGTAGCTACCCTGGAAAGACAAGGGGATCCACATTCTTTTAGCCCTTTCTTCAAGGAGCTGACAATGACTTTGAAACTTTATACTAAGGGGGATGTGGGCAAGGATTGGGGTTTTTCATAGCTGGAGGCTTTTCACAGCAGCCAAAGCAGGTATGGTATGATCCATCTGGATCTCAGGCTTGGTTGGGTGGACCTTGTGGGTGATAAGAACATTGCTGTGGCCCGTGGTTATGGGCAGCTTTGATTCTTCACAAGACATTTATCAATCAGACCTTTTGCTCCTGGAATATAAAGTCACTCAGAGCAAAGGAAACAGGTGCAATATGGAGACAGAGATGCCAAGTCTTTAATCCTTCTTTTAGTCACCCATTGGACATTTATTGCAAAAGTGAAGAGTCTAAGATTTTTTTTTTTTCATAATCTGATTTGTGGCATAATTTAGAGATTGTGGCAACAGGAGTTGCTTATGGATTAGATGTGGGAAGGCAGGAAAAATCAAGGGCAAACATAGGTTATGATCTCAGCAACAGGGGGGACAGTGATGCCTTTTCTTGAGGTGAGAGAAGGCAATGGATCAGAGAGATCCATTGTAGATCACCATAATTCCAGTGACTTGAGAGACTGAGGCCAGAGGATCACAAGTTAGAGGCCAGCCTTAGAAACTTGGTGAGGCCCTGCTTCAAAACGAAAAATAAAAAGGACTGGGACCTGGCATGATGGCATATACCTGTAATCCCAGCAACTCAGGAGATTGAGGCAGGAGGACTGCAAGTTTGAGGCCAGCCTCAGTAACTTAGTGAGGCCCTAATCGATATAGCCAGAGCCTGTCTCAAAATAAAAAATAACAAGAGTTGGGGATAAGAGCCCCTATGTTCAATCCCATGTACCAAAAACTAAACAAATAAACAAAAAAGACTGAGGCTGTAGCTCAGTGGTGGTAAAGTGCCCTTTACCCAATCCCCTGTAACAAAAGCAAAAAATAAAAAAAAATAAAGAAGCAGTGTAGCTGTCTGCCGATGAAAAGTTCAGTAGGGCAGGAGTGGGGGCTTCAAGGCAGGCCTATTCTCAAAGGAGGGCAGAATAGCCAACAGTGATCAACCTAGGAATCTCTGTGGCCTTTGAAGGTCCCTTGGAATGTTGGGAGAGAATCTGAATTGAAGCTAGTGCTGTGCAGGAAAGAGGAGTAAGGGCCCACCCCAGCTGCCCCAACTAGGGGCAGGGCCTAAATCCTGGCAGCCTGCCCTGGGCCCCGCCCTTTCCTCGCTCCCCAGACCACTGGAGACAGCCCAGCTGTTCCATCTGCCTGCTGCTTCCCTCTGGCTACCCACACCCCTTGAGCAAAACCACTTACCAAGCTCCTTCTCCCAATACCGCACTTGCAGATTCGTGTGGGTCTTTATCCATCCAGTCACTGTTTACTGAACACCTACTATGTGCTGAGGGCATTGGTGGGCACCACAGGACAGGGCACACCAGACACTGACCCATGGGAAATAGTTTAAGCAATCATAACAGTTTGTACAGATGCTTGGTGGAGGTCAGTGAGTAATCAAGTGATAAAACAACAGTTCTGGGGCTATAAACAAGGCCCTGTCCTGCGCACCAGGAGCTCCTGGTCTAGTGGAGGAGGCTGTGACCTGTGTGCAGAGAGTGGGGATGCGTTTGGGGGCACTAGGAAATATCCCAGAGCAAGTAACTCCTGAGCAGGGAAACTCAAGGGATGGAGTAAGATTTCACCAGCTAGAGAAGAAAGGGAGATGACTGCAGGCTGAAGTGTCAGGAGACAGGCGTGGCAGCAAAGTTGCAGGCAGTGTTGGGGATGCCTGCAGACAGGAATGTGGAGCACGCAGCTCGCCAGAGCGGGGTGTGCTCAGTTCAATCAAAAAGGGGAGGGGCTCTGGCTTTGCCAGATCAGAGGGTGCCCCCTTCCTGCTGAGCTCACTAACCCTAAGGTTTCTGTCCCCAGCTCTAGCCACTCTGTCCCTAGATTGGGTAGCAGGCTGGGAGAAGTGAACAAAGCCAGGACTTGAAACTCTAGCTACTACATCGTTCCACCTTCCAGGCCTATTTCCTCTCCTATAAAATGAGAAGTAATAACAGTAATAGTTCCAACTGCCATTCATTGAGCCGTCACTCTTCACCAGGCACTCTTCCAAACGTCTTACAAGTACTGTTGCATCAAATCACAACAGCAACTCTGAGAGGTTGTTTTTGCCATCATTCCCGTGTTCAGAAGAGAAAAAAGGTTGGGAAAGGTTCAGCCATTTGCCCGGGTCATACACATACTTGTCACATCAGTGATGGGATCCAAACCCAGACAGTCTGGCTGCAGAGTCCAAGTTCTTCACCACTTCATAGGCTTGGCCATGGCTGTCCTGTTCTGAGGGCTGCTGGTTCATCAACAAATATGTAAACCGAGCATGGTGGCACATGCCTGTCTGTAATCCTAGCACTTGGCAGGCTGAGGCAAGAGGATTGCAAGTTCAAAGACAGCCTCAGCAACTTGGCAAGGCCCTAAGCAACTTAGACTCTGTCTCAAAATAAAAAAGGGCTCAGTGGTTAAATGCTCCTGGGCTCAGTCCTTGGTTCCCTCTGCCCCAAAAAATAATCTATCAAGCGTCTGCTGTGTGCCAGTCACTGTGCTGGCTCTGGGTACACAGCAATGGGCAAGGCAGACCAGGTCCTTGCTGATACAAAAATGACATTCTGATGGACAAATAAACACATTAAAAAGTGAGGTGATTTTCAATTAAATAATTATCAGTCAATACAAGTATAATAGAAAGCAACTTTTATGATAGTAACAAGAGGGATTCACTGTGTGCCAAGTTCTTTACATTTTTAAATTCAGTTTTCTATCAACCCTATGGGTGGGCATTATTATTTAGCCCATTTTTTAAAAAAATATTTTTTTAGTTTTAGATGGACATAATACCTTTATTTATTTTCACGTGGTGCTGAGGATCGAACCCAGAGCCTCACACGTGCAAGGCGCATGCTGTACCACTGAGCCATAACCCCAGCCCCAAGCCCATTTTATGACGAAGAAGGTTGGGTATAAATTAGTGCTGCTGGGCTTGGGACAAAGGCCAGGCACAGAGAGGCTGACTAACCTGCCTAAGGTCACACAGGGGAAGTAGAGTTGCTGGCAAAGAGGCGAGCAAGTGCAAAGGCAGGGAACAGTCACAGGAGACAGTATGCAGTTGTTTGAAACTATTGAGGTGTCCTGATGTGAGAGGTCTGTGTCCTTGGTACTCAGGCTCCTCAGAGGGGCAGCAGAGACATTGGGCAGATGTGGCTGGGTACATGACTGGTGTATTTATGTGTAGGAAGCTAATGGCCCCACTGATGGCTACGCTGCAATTGCCCAAGTTGACAGGCTGACTCAGGAGCCCGAGAGCATACGCAAATGGAGAGAGGAGCAGAAGAAACGGCTGCAAGAGCTAGGTAAAGGCAGGGTTGACTGGGAGCTGAGCTCTGGCAGCCTTGGTGCTGGAACATGGTAGTGGGGGACGGGGAAGTCATGGGATTGGTGGAGGCCCACACTGCTTTAATGTGGGATCTGGGTAAGGGTGGGCCCTGCCAGGGGCCAAGGGGAGGAGCAGCCTGGGCCGTAGGGCACTGGAAAGATGCCACTCGTTCTCTTGTTGGGTTCACAGATGCTGCCTCTAAGGTGACAGAACAGGAGTGGCGGGAGAAGGCCAAAAGGGACCTGGAAGAGTGGAACCAGCGCCAGAGTGAACAAGTTGAGAAGAACAAGATCAATAACAGGTGAGAGGAGCCTAGGAACATGGAGGAGCTCTCGGGATATAAGAGGAGCTATGGGCATATGAGGGGAGATATGGGGACACAAGGGGGGCCAAAGAGACAGCGGAGAGCCGTGGGGACATGAGAGGAACTACAGAAACATGAACATGGGGATTGAGGTAAGCTGTGGGGACAGTGAGGGGGAGCTGTATATGATGTCAGAGACAGTCTTGAGATGGATGATTTGGTGGCAAGAACATGCAGGAAGGAGGGTGATGTGCCCAGGGTGCTTCCTTGGTTGCCTGTGGAGTTGAGAATCCTTCAGAGCTGGTCCACCATTAAGCCCTCCCCACCTTTCCATGACAGAGAGCACACAGGTCTGTCAGTCAGCAGATCTCCAAGGGCCCTGGAGCCAGACTGTCCAGGGGCCAAGCTGCCAACTGCTAGCCCTGGGCCCTCCACAGCCAGGGTTAGGTCAGAGTGCACAGGCCTGGCTGAGAGTGAAGAACCAACCTGTGTGTAGGATTCTGTTATAGCACTGCTCCCTAGAATGACTAAAGGATAAAAGGAAATTCGTGGCCTGTAATACTGAAAAGGCCAGTGGGAGGACTGTAGGCACAATATCATCCATGAAGTCAATGGGTACATACCTTTACTGTAGCTCAGCTCTGCTTTCCTCCATGTTGGGCACACAGCCCTCCAGTGGGGGGCAAAGATGGCCAGGTTCTAACCTGTTCTCTTGGCAACCTCCATGAGAAAAACATCAGGTGGCTAACAGCTTCAGCTGAGGTCTTTGACCTGACTCCCATTGGTCTCTTTTAGATCATGTGTCTGTGCCAGGCCCTGTGACTGTAGCCAAGAGGAGGGATAAGCTTATGCCGTCCGGCATGGGTGAAAGTCCCATTCCTTGGGCTCTGCATTAGGGTCAGTCCCATACAAACCCCAGGGGCTGCTGTTGGAATAGCCTGATCCCACAGAGGACAGACAGGCAAAGATGGCAGTTGTCCACCAAAGAACACCTGTGTGGAAATGGTCTCAGACTGGCTGCTGTCCATGAAGACTGCCTTTGAGGTTGTTCCCTTCAAGGTACAAGACCTTCCAGGAAGGGAAAGACACATTCGAGGAAGCTGCCACCTTGTGTTCAAAAAACTGTAGCATGCCAGGGTCCAGATGAGGAGGAGCTTCCTGCAGGAAGGGTGCCCTGACTGTCCTCTGTGGGATCAGGCTGTTCCAACGGCAGCCCCTGTGGTTTGTATGGGACTGACCCTAATGCAGAGCTCAAGGAATGGGACTTTCACCCATGGCGAATGGCATAAGCATATCCCTCCTCCTGGCTACAGTCACAGGGCCTGGCACGGACACAGGATCCAAAACAGACCAATGAGAGTCAGGTCAAAGACTTCAGCTGAAGCTGTTGGCCACCCGATGTCCTTCTCATGGAGGTTGCCAAGAGAACAGGTTAGAAGCTGGTCTATGTCCTCAAAGAGCTCAGAGGAGAGAACCATGCAGGTACAGCTGAACTTGAATACCGTGAGGCCCTCTGCACAAAAGTCATACAAGGGAAGCCAGGAACAGGTTGGGGAAGAATTCTTGTGTCTGGAGACTTGGGCTCTGGAGGACAACTAAGAGTTCATCAGGAATAAAAGGGCAGGGTGTAGGGAAGGGGATTCTACACCTGGGAACAGCCTGGCAGGAAAGAAAAGATGAGGCATGTTGGGTCACAGGGGGTCAGGGAGTGTTGGAAAAGACGGCAAGTAGACAGATGGGGGAGTCCCACTGGGAGGGCTTTGGGCACAGATGTGGGCAATGGGGAGTCACTGAAGGTTTTTGAACAGGAGAGTAATATGATCAGGCTGAGCTTCAGAAAAAGCACTGTGGCCAGGGTGGAGGATCCCCTCTGGGGCTATGCTGCGCCTTCAAACTGTGCTTCCTAATACACTTCCCATGGGAGGTACTAATGCTCTCTCTTTCTCTTTAACCCTCTACCTGCCTGTCTGGCCTTCTCCACCTAACATCTTCTCCTAACATTTCCCTCAAGGATCGCTGACAAAGCATTCTACCAGCAGCCAGATGCTGATATCATCGGCTATGTGTACGTGTCTCCTTTGCTTCTCTGCTGGGAGGGATCTTGAGAGGGACCCAGGTGGGCGTGTGGCTGGCACAAGACTTCTGGAGTCTTTTGATTGTGGGATATAAATCAATGTGGTTGGGCTTAGGGTGATGATCAGAGCAGGAAGCTAACCCTCACTTCAGTCTCTCCAGCAAACTGGAGGTTGCTTTGCCAAATCAGAGAGCCCTACAGGGGAGGGCAGAGAAAAGAATGTGCCATGTAGGAGGGGCAAAGGGCAAAGCAGCCCTGGTTTCTTCTGAGATGCCTCTTGGGGTGGGTAGGTGGGTGGTTGAAGGAGTCTTTTGTTGAACAAAACAAACACAAGGTACTGAAGGCAAAAGAATAAGAGATGCTTTTATGTGTATACCCATTCCTGCCCTCTACCCCCAATGCACTGACTTTGGTCATGAGCCCCGCCCACACCACCAGGGTCCCCTATCATGGGGTTCTGGGCTTGGTGTCTAGCTAGTATTGTGACTAATGTAGACATGGAAAACAGGCTTCCTCTCATGCCAGTCTAAGTTGATTGGTTGTGACGGGTTGGAGGGTGGTGTTGGGGATTCTGAAACCAAGGACAAAAATGCAGTGATTCAACTGAGTGTTGTCTGACACATGTGAGTGTGCCAAGTACTTGCTGTTCCTGCTGGAGCCACTCCTTGCTCTGGGTGTGCCACGGCCTTCTCTGATGCTGTCTGGGCTAAGCCTTCGCTCATAAAACGCAGGTTCCAGCAGGGCAGCAGCCTGCCTTCTTCCTTCTATCCCCTCTTCCATCTGTCCTGTGCTCACTGATACTTACCCTATGCCAGTTTCTGGTCTAATAGAAACAGGGGGGCTGGGGTTGTGGCTCCGTGGTAGAGCCCTTGCCTCACATGTATGAGGCACTGGATTTGAGCCTCAGCACCACATAAAAATAAATAAAGGTATTATATCCATCTAAAACTAAAATTATATATTAAAAAATAGAAATAGGTCACACATAGTCTGTCTCCCAAGTTGCTCATGGACTGGAGAACGCTGTGATAAGAGCCATGTGTGGAAGGACACAGGAAGCTCTGGGAGCCACCCTCTGCTGGGAAAGCCAGGACAGGCTTCAGAGATTTGTGACCTTCAGCTGGATCTGAAAGTTCAAGAAGGAATTCACTGGGTGGGGAGGGGAAGGGCAGGGCATTCTAGGTGAGAATTAGCTGGGGCAAAGGCCTAGAGAAAGGAACTACCTAGCTGCCTGCAGTGGCTGCAGTGTTTCTGGGGCTGCTCTGTTGCAGTCATTGGGGGCTGCGGCTGGGTATTGCAAAGCGCCTGTTATGCTAGGCTAAGAAGCTTCGACTTGATCCCGAAAGCAGTAGGGAGCCATGAGAGGTTTTCAGCAGGGGAAGAGGATGTCCCATAGGCTCTGGTGCTATGGAATTCCATAGGGACTCGGTGCTCCTGTTCAGCCCAAAAACATGGCCCAGAGAGCATGCAAGAGGATCCCAAAGAGAGAAAAGGCTTTTTAGACTTGCATGTGCCTTTGAATTACCAGGGGATCTTGAAAAATGCAGATTCTGATTCAGGAAGACCAAGATAAGGCTCAAGATTCCGTATTTCTAATAATCTCCATGGTGACATTGATGCCCCTGGACCATGAACCACACTTTCAGCACAGAGAACAGAAGGAATCTCTTCTTTCCCCCATATTTTAATAGTAGATGGACACAATACCTTTATTTTATTTATTTATTTTTATGTGGTACTGAGAATAGAACCCAGTGCCTCACACATGCTAAAGCAAGCACTCTACCACTGAGCCACAACCCCAGCCACAGAAGGAAATCTCTTGATCCTGAAGGGGGGCAGCTCCTGGGATAGCTCCTCTCATCATCAGACTCTACACAGCACACACCAGCCATCTTACTGGATTGTCAGCCAGGAACCAGATCAGCAGGGTGGAAGCTAGGAGCCTAGAGATACAGAGGGGGTTTCAAGGAAAAAAAAGCTCTCCAGAAAGGATTCCTGCAGGCCAAAAAGGACACAGATCCAGCTCTCTCCACTGTTTTTTTTTTTTTTTTTTTAAATGACACTCATGTTTAGATTTTATCCCTCAGCTATATTTACTGTTTGTTTCTCTATTGTCCCTTACTGCTGATTTTTTTCTTTTTTTGTGGTGCTGGGGATCAAACCCAGGACCTCACACATTCTCTCACTTAGGCAAGTGTTTTACCACTGAGCTATACTTCTAGACCTGATAAGCAGATTTTCTTTTGAACTCAGGGGCACTCAACCACTGAACCACATCCCCGACCCTATTTGTATTTTATTTAGAGACAGGGTCTCACTGAGTTGCTTACCGCCTTGCTTTGCTGAGGCTGGCTTTGAATTTGTAGTCCTCCTGTCTCAGCCTCCCAAGCTGCTGGGATTACAGGCATGTGCCACTGCACCCCAGCCTGATCAGCAGCTTTTTAAACTACCAAGAACTTCTGAAGAAGGGACCAGTTCAGTTTGCATCCTAATGTGATTCCAACCAAAAGTAAGAATGCCAATCCCCAGGTGTGGCTCCACAGAGTTGATGATCCTTTCGGGCTGAAAAGGGTTTCTATTCACACTACCCTTTTCTGGAGAACACTCATAAAGCAATGCTGAGCCACGTTTCAGTGAGGTGGATGGGTAGTCAATGTCTTCCCTAGGTTAAAGTTTTGGAAATGTTGAGCATAGCTGAGGTACTGTGTTAGTTTCTCCAAGGGCCTTGAGGTGTTGGGATCACCAGGCTGGGAACTCCATCCAGATGGTGAGGTAACGCAGTGCCTAGACTGGAAGAAACTTTCTGAGGTGAGGCCTGTGCTGGGAACTCAATGAAATGAAGTAACAAGCCATAAGCAGATGTGGAGGAAGAACCTTTCAGGAAGAGGTGATAAATTAAGTGCAAAGGTCCCGAGGCAGGACCAAATTTTACTTCTTTTCTCTTTTTGGTGACAGGGACTAAATTCAAGGCCTTATGCATGCTAAATGTGTGCTGTACCACTGAGCTACATCCTCAGCCTTAGGTTTCCTCTTATGATAAAGCTGTTCCTGGGGGGTTGAGGTCACAGAGTATAGGGTTAGGGAGAGAATCTGTAGATAAATTGTCCCCAAGTAGGCTGGGATCAGGGCTTCAGAAGGTGGACCACTATAAAACATCTGCCCCGTCTTCATCTGCAGGGCATCTGAGGAGGCATTTGTGAAGGAATCCAAGGAGGAGACTCCAGGCACAGAGTGGGAGAAGGTGGCCCAGCTCTGTGACTTCAACCCCAAGAGCAGCAAGCAGTGCAAAGATGTGTCCCGGCTGCGTTCGGTGCTCATGTCCTTGAAGCAGACGCCGCTGTCCCGCTAGGTGCCTGTCATAAGCATGATCACAAAGCACGGGCCACACCAGGGCAGAGGAGCAGCAGCTGCTTTGGCCAGGGTGGAAACTTCCTCTGGCAGCTGCTACACACAGCCTATTCCGTTCCTCTCCATCTCCCGGGGCTGAGAAAGGGGACCCTGACCCCTTTGGTCCCTTGCTCTCTCCTGGCCCTATGGTCCAGCCCCTCATGGCTCCTCCTCAGTCCACTCAGTTGTGACTGTCCCTCTTGATGTATTTTTTTTTCTTGCTTAAAGGGTGTGTTGTTAACTCTTTTTACACCTATTTATTATCATCCTCATTTCCCTGGAAGCCACAACTGGTGTCAGGGTTCAGTTTGTGCTTAGAACTTTTCCAGCTTCATGGCCTTGGAAGAAGGTAAAGAATACATGAAAAGAACAACTTAAAGGAGGAAAGGTTTATTTTGGCTCACAGTTTTAGAGGTTCAGTCTATATAGGTTTAGCAGGCTCCAAGTTGGAGGAGAGGTGGGGGGAGGGGGAGAGAAAGGGATCACGCAAAAGGAGGGAAAGAAGGAGCTGGGGAGAATGCCCCCCAGTGACCTACTTCCTTCATCTAGATGCCACCCCCCCAGTAGTCTATTTAGTTGTCAATGGATTAATTCACTGGTGAGGTCAAAGCCTTCATATTCCAAACATTACCTAAAAACCCTACCTCTGAACCTTGCTGTGCTGGGGACCATGCTTTCAATACATGAGCTCTTTGGGGAACATTTCCAATCCAAACCATAACACCTTGGAAGCCTAAGAGCTCCCACCTAGAAGTGGAAGCCCTAACCTGTCTGTTGCCTCCATACTTAAGAGGAAAGACAACCTCTCATAGAATGCGTTTGTAACCTTGATCCTTTCTGATCCTTTCACAAACCTGTGAAGAAGGATTCTGCTGTTTTCACATGTAGATAAAGACACTAAGGCTTCCAGGGGGATATGGCTTCCAGTGGAAAGAAACAGGGAAGACCGACATCCCGTGGTGGCTTTTTCCAAGCCTGGGTAAGAGGCTGGTAAAGGCAGCCTCTGTTGGACACCTTTCCTTGGAGTTGGCTGGGACCTTCTGGAATGTGAAGTGCCCATTGCTCTGCCTAATTTATCCCCTCCTCCAGCTGTACCTGCCTATGAATTAGGTATAACAACCAGCGACCACAGGAGTGGTCACTGAGCTATATCCCTAGGCCTTTTTATTTCTTGAGACAGGGTCTCCCTAAGTTGCTAAGGGTCTTGCAAAGTTGTTAAGGCTGGCCTTGAACTTGGGATCCTCCTGAGTCACAGGCTTGTGCCACTATACCCAGCTTTAAAAAAAAATTGAGTATTTGCCAACAGTGTTAGTTCCCTAGGGCCACTGTAACAAAGTAGTACAATCTAGGTTAGAAAACAGAAATTGTCTCCAGGTTGGGGGTGTACCCGGCCAAGCATGTATAATGCACTGGGTTCGATCCCCAGCACCACCAAAGAAAAAATAAATTTGTTGTCTCATAGTTCCGGAAGTGAGAAGTCCAAAATCAAGTGTCACCAGGGACACCCCCTCTGAACATACTAGGGAAGAATCGGTGCCATGCCTCTCCTAGCTTCTGGTGGCTTCAGGCATTCCTGGGCTTGTAGATGCATGCTCCAGTTTTGCCTCCAATATCACAGGAACATCTTCACATCATCTGTCCTCTATGTATGTCTGTCTTTGTGTCCAAAGTTTCCCTTTTTATAAAGATATCAATCATCTTGGATTAAGGTCCACCCCTAATGACCTCATTTAAACTATTACCTCTATAAAGTCCCTATTGCCAATAAGGTCACATTCTAATGAACTATGAGTTAGGACTTCAACTATCTTTTTGTGTGTATGTGTGGTGCTGGGGATTGAACCCAGGGCTTTGTGCATGTGAGGCAAGCACTCTACTAACTGAGCTATATCCCCAGCCCTCAACTATCTTTTTTTGGGGGTGGTGGTGGGGAAACACCATAATACCAATACTTATAGTGGACATTCTTTTTTTAAAGTGCTATAGTCCTCACCACTCAATAATCCTTTTCTTGCATCTTGAGGCCAAGAGTCATTACAATACACTATTGGCTCTGATTTTTGATCTGCCTCAAAGACCATGGTGAAGGCAAGAAATTTACCTGGCACTGATTGTACACTCCTCCACTCAAGAGATCCAGACTGTGTCAGGGCTCAATAAGGTGTGAAGTGTCTTTTTAATTTCTTTCCTCTTCTATCAGTTTAGAGATTGTACTGAAAAGATGGTCACATATGGGAAGAGTGTAGGTCCCTAAATCAACTCTTGAGAGCTGACCACAGACCAGGAATATTTGTTTGAGGCTTCCTATCCAAAGCTGAGAGTACTGATCAGTGAAGCCCCAGGGATTTTCAGGTGGGAATGGGGTGTAGAGCAGATGCAGAGTGGAGGGCAGAGCTTCCTATCTGACAGGACCATGGCAGGCCTCATCGGAAGACTAAAGTTTGAAAACTGTTGGCTAGATTTGTTTCTTCTTCCAAACAGCATCACTCTAGGCCCATTGAACTAGAAGCTAGAATCTCAAGGAGAGGTGCCTGGAAAGTTCTACACTCCACCCACTCCCAGCTGGGAATTGAACTCAGGAGCACTGTACTACTGAACATCACTCATTCCAAGCTTTTTAAAAATTTGATATAGCTTTCCTTTAATTGCCCAGGCTGGCCTGGAAATTGAAATCCTCTTGTCACAGTCAACTGAGCCGCGCACCACTATGCCCATAAAATCTCCCCTTTTAACAAGTGTCCCAGGTGACTGTTAACCAGGAAAGTTTGGGAAAGACCAGACGCCAAGATTTTTTAAGGGTCACTCCAATATTCAGTCTGATTCCTCCTAAAACCAAAGACCCCAAACCATGGTTTTGGCCACGGGAGTGAGGCTGAGAATTCATTCACCATACCACTGGTGGATTAGAGTTTATTAAGTAGGGAGGAAGGGCAACATCCAAACCACCGAATCTGGGATTTCTGGAAAAAAAAATCTTGTCGATCACACAATCGGCCACTTCCTCCCTAACAACACAGGGGCCTGAAGCCTGTCGAGGAGACAGGGAATGAGTCTCTTTGGCAGGGCTGGTGGTTGCTCCTGGGGTTTGGAATGATCTTCCGCGGAGCTTTCACGAGCCGGCAGTGGCATCAGGGTCGAGACTTCATAGCCGATGCAGCTAAACCCAACAAGATGGCTGCGACCGTGAAGCCCTGGGCGGCGATCCGGGTTCGCATCATGAGCTGTGAGCGCTGGCTATGGCCGCGATGGAAGCAGTAGAGGCCATAGGTGAGGGCGGCCGCCGTGCCCAGGCAGCCTGGGGAGGGGACAAAACTAGGGGAGCAGCGAGTAGGGTACCAGAGGTCCCTTCCCCAAGGACGAGACCACTAAACAACAGCAGGGAGAGAGGAAGTGGTTGGCCGAGGCGGGGTCTTCCTCGAGAGTCCAAGAGTCCGTCCCATCCCGGCCCCGCCAAACATGCACTGCTCTGGTTCCAGTTTTACCCTCACTGCCCCGCCCCTTCTCCCACGTCTCCGGTTCGATCTCATTCGGTGCCTCCTGGAGTTCCCGGTCCTCCCCAGTTTCATTCCCCCCGACATCACTGTCCTCTTCGTTTACAGTTCCTACAGTACTCACTTACCTATGGGTACCATTGGGTTTTCTCGAGTCTTGCGAAGAAACTTTTCCTTGAAGCCTTCCGGATTGCTGTAAATACTGGGGCTGAAGCCCTCAATGACTGGGGGCTTAGATGGTTCAAAGGGTGTCTCGGGAGTCACAGGACTGGGAGTTGCCATGTCTGGGGCAACAGAGGTAAGGAGATACTCCGGACGTTGAACTCCGCCTCCTGATGAGGTCATGAAAGGGGCGGGGAAAACGAACATATTCGTGTAATACGCAGGCGCAAGGACCAATTGCATTCTGGGAGTCGTAGTAATCGATGCGGAAGCGCCAAGGGAAAGACTACATTTCCCAAAAAAGCCTGAAAAGTCCGGCGCTTCTCCGCCGGAAGGAGTCTGTTAACACGAGGTTGTAAGTGCGGGGCTTCAGGGGTGAGCTGCTGGTGAGGCGGTCAGCGCAATGCCCAAGGCTAAGGGCAAAACTCGGAGGCAGAAGTTCGGCTATAATGTCAACCGAAAGCGTCTGAATCGGAATGCTCGACGGAAGGCAGCGCCACGGATCGAGTGGTGAGTGGCTCGGGGTTTGGGGAACAGGGGGACATTGGCAAGGATCGCCCGCGAGGTGATAGAACCACGAACTCTCTTTTTGCCGGTAGCTCCCACATCCGACATGCCTGGGACCACGCCAAATCCGTGCGGCAGAACCTGGCGGAGATGGGGTTGGCCATGGATCCCAACAAGGCGGTTCCCCTCCGTAAGAAAAAGGTATTGACAAGGCAGCATCCCGGGCCTTGTCTCCTTTTCTTTTAATCCTTCCTTCCTCCTCTCCTTTCCTTGCTCCCTTTCCTCAGGTTTTTTCTCTCTTTTTTCCTTCTTCCTTCTTCCTCTGCCTTGCTGGGATTCAGAATTTGATGCTCCCTCACGCTTTTCTCCACTTGCCCACAGTTCATTTGGTCATCCTGTACTGACTGTTGTCGAGGGTCCCTTCACCACCTCTCACACATCTCCTCAGCACACGTTTGGACCTGATTTGGAGTTTATTCTCTCTTCCTGCACTCAATATTTTCCTCGGAAATTAACCTTTTTGGGTCCCTTGGCATCTCGAAGGTTATTTTTCCAGAATTTATCTTTTTCTGTTCTTGACTTTCCTAATAAGGACACCCTGGAGTTTGAGACTTTATTATTTCCTACACCTTTCCCTAGTCATCCTTGGCCTAAGGTTTCGCTAAGACTAGTTTCTCCTCTGTAAGTCTTTTTCTGGACCATGCCTTCAAACTTTCAAAAATAGCACCCTTCTTCACCCAGCATCTCTTCCCCCCTTTATTTTAATTTATAGCACTTGTAAAGATATCATAGTATATGCTTATTAACTTATTTGCTTCTCTGTTTATTGTCTGTGCATCTTCCTCCTAACATAATTTCCTAACAGAATAATTTCCTAACAGAATCTCTTGTGTTTTTCTCTGGTGTGCTTAGGATGTCACTTGATAACCTAAGGAATGGGCTTGCTGAATGAATTTGTCCCATGTCTTTAGGCAAATTTCTCTTTAATTCTTCATGCCAGAGGAAAATGACACTTCTGCTTCTTGAACAGTTATGAAGTTATAGCTAAGCACTGTCAGGTAGACGCTCCTCCTCCCGTTTAAAATTATAAAGTACTTTCCCTTGCATTGTTTCAGCTCAGTTGTCATACAACCAAATGAGGAAGGCAAGGAGTACTATACTCATTTTATAAACAGTCATGTACATAGGCCTTTATGTGATTCTTTGGGAACTT